TCTTTTTCTTTTTCTTTTTTTCTTTTCTTTTTCGAGGTGAAGTTTTGCTCTTGTTGCCCAGGCTGGAGAGCAATGGCTCAATCTTTGCTCACTGCAACCTCCGTCTCCCAGATTCAAGCGATTTTCCTGCCTCATCCTTCTGAGTAGCTGGGATTATAGGCACCCACCACCATGCCCAGCTAATTTTTTGTATTTTTAGTAGAGATGGGGTTTCGCCAAATTGGCCAGGATGGTCTCAAACTTCTGACCTCAGGTGATCCACCTGCCTCAGCCTCCCAAAGTGCTGAGATTACAGGCGTGAGCAACCACATCGAGCCAACAATCACTTTCTTTAAAGCAAATCCTACAGCTGGTCAACACACTATTCCATCTGTCATCGAGAAAGAAAATGTTAAAATAGACTGAAAAATATTGCTTTAAGTATAATAATATGGCATGATGATGTTATTTTTTTCTTAATACTCAAGAAAAAATATACAGTGGTATATTTTACAACACTGGGATAGAAATAAAGTTTCCCTTTAAGGCAAAAAATGTTATCCCAAGTCACATTTTGCAGAATTTGCTTTATGATGAATATACCCATATAATATTAATTATTTGCATCATAATATGACATAGCAGGTTTTCTGATCAATTACTTAAGTTCTCATTAACTTTCCAAGAAAAAAGTTAATACATATATCCGGTGCCTGTGTTATTTGTATATTTTCAACCATTTTGAAATCAGTCACTAACGTATTAGCATTGACTTTAAGTTCCTATATATATTTGATTAAATGAAATCCTTAAAAAAGTTGGAAGTGACATTGTCAGTTTGAATTTTGTAATTTGAATACCACTGAATTTTACTTTTTCACCTTGATATCTTCATTTTACTCCCATAAAATGTAAAACAACTACACTGGCTTAAAAAGTCAATATGCGCTTCAATAATGATAGATTCTTGTGAATTAAATCTTTCTAGGCTAATTAGGAGGAACTTCTGCAATAATAAAGTAACATCATAATTGTTACTTTTTATAATGTTCCTATACTGTGACTTTTGGCCTAGTTTGACATCAGAGTATAATTGTGATTAGAAAATTGTAGAAAATACGTTTATTAGTTAGAATTTTAATACATATTTGCTTTTCAACTGCCTGCAATTATACTAGCACTTATTACTCAGAATAACCATGAGGTTGTATTATCTTTAGTGGAACAGAAGCACAAATATTCAATAACCTGAGGATATCATACTAACCATGGCATATTTACAATTAAAATTCAAATATTTTCTGCTCATTTGGTCTCATTTCTATTGCTATTCACTACACTTCAGATTAAACTGTCTACATTAAATTAAATTTGAAGTTAACATTTGGCTATGTGTACTCAAAGTAATTGAGAAGCCATCGTTTATCTTTTAGAACAGAGAAGAATAAATCGATAAGTTAAAGATTTTTCTCAAGGAGTTCTATATATTCCAGTGGCTACTGCAGAGTATTAACGTGAAGAGAATGCAGGGATTTCCTTCTCCAAATCACTGACATTTAATTTAGGCTTGGTAATGTCTGGGAAAATGCAAACTGTTCTCTGGAAAACTGAGAAAAGAAGTCAATTGCTTCTAGAAACATGCTTGTGTTGAGCAGAGAAGGGGAGAACAGAGTGTAAAATGGATGGCTTCCCTAAGAAACAGAATTTTGTCTCTTAGGACAGCAGGAATAAGTAGGCAAAACCACAGAAGGGGGAATCAGCATGAAGCATTTAGGGAACACTAAATAGTCACCTGTCTCTAGAGCAGAGAGTCCAAATTGAGAAAGTGTAGGACATACAGCTAGTAAACATCAGGACTAAGACACTGAGATACTAGGCTAAGGAGACACTATAAACGTGGAGTGTGGGCCTCTTAGGACGTGGTCCCCATCTTCATTGTCTTCTTTTATTCTTCAGTCCTCTGGGAAGCCTTTCCTAACATTTCCTTTCCTGTAGGTCAAGGATTCTTGTTCAGTGCTTCCCAGCACCTGGTCCTCCCCCATCTTAGACTACTACACTTCACTGACGCGGCTTCATTTATTGTTTTTGCTTAGCAAGTTGTAAGCTTCCTGATTGAGTCTGTTGGCTCATCTTTGTTTTCTATTCCTTAGCACATAGTGTATGCTCAATAAATGTTTAGTGACAGAATTGCTTCATTTGGAATCCTGCAAAGTGCTGCAAAATAATTTTAAGGAGATTTTTGAATAAAAAAAGTTATGCTAGCAGACATAGAAATGGTGAACTATAAAGGACTAAAACGGATGCTGAAGAGGCACTTTAAAGTGTACTAAAATAGCTGATAAATATTGGAAGCCTGCACTAATTTATTCATTCAATACTTACTTATCAAGCATATATTATGTATCAGCCACTGTACTGGGAACTGGAGATACAATCCTGAGGACAGTGTTCCAGTAAATTTGAAAAAGTAAACAAGGTAATTTTTGAAAGTGATAGATGCCATAAAGAAGTGAACAGGCTGGAGTGATGGTAGAGTGATGTGAAGAGAAAAGTTAGCAATGATGTGAGAGAATGGAAGGCACTTCATAAATCTCACAATTCAGAATCAATGGAAACTTGGAGTCAGATATTTGTATGAGTTGAGATTGTAAGGATCATGGTAGGAATGAGTGTTGAGTATATTCTGATTTGTGCCATTAGGTAAACCCTGTTGCCTATACAATTGGAACTTGGAATGGGAAAGGGGAATATGCTAGTTTTTTTAGGGTCTGTTCCAATCTTCCTCCACCTGTCATACACCCCTAGGAGGCTGACATTTATGCAACATAGGCTCCTTTGTCCTCTGGCTTCCATTTGGTTCAGTCAATAGTGAGATATGGTAGAAAATGGGGGAGAAATTCTCCTGGACTCCTCGCCGAGATGTCCCCACAGGCTGGCTGTTTCCTTCAAGTGTTTTTATCAGTGTGGCCTTTTCTACACACATCTCTCCCGGATGGCAATAAACCTTTCCAGGCCTTCTCCCTGCAGGCTTAGTGGTGTTGACAGCTCAGCTGTTGCCATACCTGAGTTACTGGACTATGCCTTGAGGTTTTTCAACTACCTACACCTGTATAAAGAATATCTAAATCAAGCATTCTTAAGAGCCAACCAATTTCAGATAACTTGCAGTTTGTTCTAATTGGAGTATGCCATCTGCTTCCTGTTGGTTCCCTGACTGACACTGGTAAATATTTCAAGTTTAGATCAATTGACTTCCTAACAGTGACATATCCATGTGAAATCACCTAATAGTCAACTGGAAAATATGATTCTGGCACTGGTAAGTGGGATCAAGCTAGAACCATTAAATTTCAAGGTGTCCAATATCTTCCTTACATCTCTCTCATCCCAGATGAGAAAGCAAGTTTACCCTTGTGATTTCTGCGGGGGGAGGGAAGTGATGTAGGAAAGGACAGCCAGATCACCAGGTGGCACAGATCACAGACCTCCCTGCAGAATAATTTGACCACTGATGAAATTCCTTCCAGAGTAGTCTCTTTCCTAATAAGCTTTTGTACCCCTAGCTGCTTCTGCATATTTACCCACAGCCTCTTTCCCTTCACAGAATCCTTTCCATAAAACCCACAGGTGTTCCTGGGACCCGAGAGTCAGCAGATCAGTACCAGCTGAAATTATGCAAGGTGAGTCAGAAAGGTCTGTCTGGAAAGGGCTTTAGGGCAGTAGGAAAACAAGGACTTTGTGATTACTCCAAAGCTGAGGCTTGCGTCTGTTCCTACTTTTGAATTCCCTGTGAGAGTCCTGAGAAACAGATCTTGAGGTTATCAAAACATGCATCCCTTTTCATTGCCATGTACAGTGAAATGAATACAAATGACTTGAGTGAATAGAATATTTCTTTTTTATTTTTTAGAATAAAAATGTTCTAAATTTTTCAGGTTGTGAGCTCAACAAATGCAACAATCAAATCTGAGTGACTAATGGTCAAATGATGGCACCACTGCTTTAAAGGCAGTGCCAGGTTGGCATGTACCCTATGTGAACCAACACTGCAATTTTTACGTATCCCTGTTTGCTTGCTTTGTTCTTTCACAACTTGTTTCCCCTCAGAACTCTGAGATGAATACCATCTGGGCTGCAATGATTTACTGTACTTGAGTTTCTCAAGTTGTTCCCAAAGTGCCTTTTTGAGGCTTCAATGTCTATTCAGACCACACTGATTGCACCCCAAAATTTAGGGTAGTAGAATTGGTGTTTCCAAAACCTCAGACAAGTCAATTGCAATAAATGTATCTTTAATAAGAGTTTCCATAACACGGTTGTTTATAATCTTGGTTCTACTAAGAAGGAAACGTGCCTTTAAAACACAGTGGTTTAAAATTTTATTTTGGCAATATTGTCAAATTTAAATATAGATAACAGAGTCATAAAACTTCATAAAACTATAGAGCTTCTCCATCTAGTGCATATAATTACGTTAATGTTTCTATGAATTATATAACTATCTTGGGTATAAGGGACTACTTAGTATTTGCATATAATTTTAAAATTACACCAGTGGCAATAGAGACATAATTAGGTAAAATATTTTCTAAGTATTTTATGTCTAGGTAAAAACAATTATAAAACAGACATCTTTCAGGTAAAATTTTCATTTGTAAACCCAGTTTGCTTTGGATATATGTATATAGTACATATTAAGCACAGTTTTTGATTCACAGCTTAGCGCTTTTTAACGTAAAACTTACATGTTTTATTTTCTATGGTTATACATGCTTAAAAGAAGTTAAGGAGAACATA